AAAGGGCTATCTAGAGAGGGTAAAAACCGTTTTTTTTGTTGGTTTTTAAAAAAAAAAAAAAAAAAAAAAAAAAGGGTTAATAAGTAGGCAAGTTGTCAGCTAAAAAAGTTAAAATGTGTCAAATAAATAGAAGCAAATGTTTATCGCCCTCAAATCTTCAAAATGGCCTACTACAAAGCAGCCTCAGTGGAGGATGAATGTGAGTAGCTACACATGTCTACCATCTGTGTTCTCTACTTTTGCACTATTTGAACACAGAGTCAAAAACCTAAGTTAAGTATCCACTCTTCTCGGGAAAAGACGGGGATTTGTGGCGCTATGAGTCAGTGTTGAGAAGTCACTTTATACCAGCAGGTGAAAGAAAGCAGTTACAGGATAAGCAGCTTTTTGAGGGAGAAGAAAAAAATAAAAAAGTAACACGATCCATGTCTGCAAAATGCTTCTCCACTTGACAGGTGTGAAACTACTTCACCTCTGTTATTCGGGGATAATGCTGCAGCTCACTACAGACTGCAGGGGCTGGGAGAGGATGGGTTGGAGTCTTTCTATCATCCTGTTTTGGTTTAACAGAAAGTGGGAAAGAGGGAGATTTGGTCAGAAACGCAGGATAGGTGAAGGGGCTTTTTTTTCTTTTCTTTTCTTTTTTTTTTTTCTGCATTTCTAACAAGGCATTTCCACACAAAGAAAAGGTCGGGGAGAGTGACACAAACGCTTATGTGCCAAAGTTAAAAGTAAACGATATCACTACCGACTGAATGAACAGCTATCCCCACAGAGAAAACAGGAAATGTACTATGTATTTTTTTTTCCCTCCTAATTGATCACATTTTAAACTGGAAATCCCTGAACTGCCTGCTCTTCATCATAATGATAATAAATACTACCGTAAGAATCCAGTAATTGCATCGGTTAAGACGTCATCCAACAGTTTATTTGTACTCTATGCAGGAAAGTTCTTTTAAAAAAAGCAACATGGTGGGACTCGGAGGCTATTTTTGGAGGTTTGGAGGTGGGGGGGAGCAAAGGAAGCAGCTTTGCCAGTCCACAAGGCTCGGAGGTCAGACGTCTTTGGGGCTAACGTTTTTCAGGTTGTTGAGCTCCAGCTCCAACTGGCGTATTCGTACGTCCTTCGTGGTCAGCTCCTCCTTCAGCCGCCGCAGCTCGTCCTGCTGCCGGAAAAACATCCGTAGGAGCTGTGTAAACAAAACAAAACAAAAACACACAAACTCAACCAAATGATATGTATAATTGAGGTGAGTGCTAAAGCAGTGCTCCCCCCCCCACCCCCAATTCTTGAAATATGTTTATTTTGATGTGGACAAACTCTGGTGCAAACCTCTCATGCAAATGAGATCTGACATCCCACAACCCACAATATTCCAGAACGTTTTTAGCTGAATTAAAAAGAAAACCCTCTTACGGACTAAAAAACACCCCAAAACAATAAAAAAAACAAAAAAAAAAAAACAAAGGGGGTTGGGGGACCTTAATGTGTGCAGATCCACAAACCTCGTTCTCTGTCCTGGGTGGGACGTTCTCCAGCAGGTCAATCCCGTTCACCACCACACTCTTCTTCTCCTTCACTGGGGCTTTAAAAACTAACTGGTTTGGTCTGTGGTAACCGTCCTTCAGAGACATCAGCACTGGGTCTGTCAGAAGCAAAGGTCAAGGGTTAAATGTGTGAAAACCGGGAGGTTTTAAAGACGAATCTAAAGACTTTCCAGGCCTGGAATCGCTACAGTGGTTTCCTGTTTGTCAAACGGCAAGATGTAAACTCTTGCTGATGGACTGTAGGGCATCGAATGGTCTTGGATGTAAATACTTTTCATATTTGCCGGTGGTTGAGGAGCATAGATACCTCGCTGTTCATCTGGACAGCAGACTGGATTAGATTCTAAGACTATAAAACAGTCTTTAATTGAAACCATTTCAATAAACTTTCCTCGCCTTGCTAGTACAGTGTACTTGTGGCCAAACTGAAACGTAACGTAATTTTCAGCCTCTGTGATGCTACAATCAACCTGTGCTGAGTCTTTAAAAATACATTCTCCAAAAAAACATTTTGTAAGATGTGTCCAACACAGCAAAACACAAAGAGTGACACAGAGAGAATGCAGTAAGCGCATTCTTCATGTACAATGTGTGAAACATCTCATCAGTACTGGTAGTTTTTGTTTTTCCTGCATCTAATTCTTCTCATTTCTGTTAATAAACCACCAGGGACACTTTAAAAAAAAAAAAAATAAGAAATTCAGTTTCACTTTATTTTACTATACAGCTGATAAAACAAAAACACTTGCGTACTTGAAGAAAGCTTAATCAGCTTCTGTTTTTTGGCTGCATAGGCTCCGACTTCTGCTGAGACATCCCTCATGAGGACGGTACTCTGAGAGAAGCAGAAAGCTTTGGCTCTCAGAGAGACGCACGAGAAAAGCGACTCTTACGGCTCACACACAGGCAGGGAGACTGTTCACTCACCGACAAAAAAAAAAAAAAATGAAGCAGCAATGCTCCTGGTTTAGAGTAATTTAGTCCTACGTGTAGATTAACAATTGGTGTGCTGATGCAAGAAGTTGGTGCATCTAGAGTGAACACCAGAGGGAATAAGTGGTCGGATGACGGGTGGAGCCGTAGTATTACCAGGCAAACCCTGAATCAAATAAAAATGATGGATCTCTTGTCTTTAGGACTCTTTTGCTGTTTTTTGTTGTTGTTGTTGGAGTTGTGAAGCAGCTGAGTGTTTTGTTTACCTCTATCAATCCCACTTAGCCACTCGCTGGCGGACAAGGCAGGTTCGGTCCCGGCTGTCATTGGATAAATGTCCTCCTGGTATGTATCTGACTGTTAACACACATTTTCAGATGATTTAGCATCTGCTCTGCGTAGCTTATTTGCCAAACATTTGATGCAGCACACTGTTTTAGGGCAAAAAAAAAAAGAGAGAAACATCAAATTTTACTATATCTTTCATAATCACCCATTACAATATATTTTGTTTTAGTATATTTGATCTGGTAGAGTTTTAGCAAGAAGCTAAGAAAATCCACTCTTTAAATCTAATTAAAGATCTGTATGAATAGGTGACATTTGTGAATCATCTCATTAACTTTAAACTTTTGACAGGTATTTCTTACAAACAAGGATTGTGTGATACTGTGAGTGCTGAGAAATTACACTCCAGTTGTACTTAACAACACCTTCATGGATGTAAAACCTGCATGTTGAAATATAAATCTGAAAAGTGTGGCATATGAGTGGACTTCCTGAAGCCATCTTTTTGCAGAACCCTCTTTCTTTGTGCCAACAGTTTTTTTTTGTTTTTTTTAAGAAGTCTTCCAACTTTTGACTGAAATGTTGGTTCATTCTTATTTTCGAAATAGCACAGGGTATCTGTGAACATCAATTTTTAAGTCTTCTTATATTTTAGGTATCAGTAAAACTCATGGACATGATTTGATCAGCTCTTGATGTGTTTTTAGAATATCTTTTCAAAACTTACCCTGCTTTAAACATCTTCACACCTCTCTCCTTGACCTGTCTGCTTTGAAAAAGCACTGAAAGCTGGCCTCTGTTTTCTAAACAGGTGACTTCTGAGCACAACTGGTTGCACTGGATTCTTATTTAGCCTCAGAGTAAAGAGGGCTTCCACACTTTTCAGATTTTTATTTGTGAAATATCTGGGAACAAAATTTTCTTTTCGACCCAACAAAGTTACGCTCTCTCCATTTCATCCAAACCTAGTAAAAGACAATTGAGTTCTGTGGACGCAGTGTGTTGGTGTTGTACTTCTGCAAGCTGCTGTGCGTCTGATTGTGGTGAAAGGACACACTCACTCTTCTTGGCACAATCATAGAAATGGGTTCGATCAAACCCTTGAGGGTGACCAGTTTGTAGAAGCGGTACACCTCGCAGGCCGCCACGTCCAGCCCGAGCTTTGGCATCACACCTGCACAGGGAGATCAGACGAACGCGGCGATACGATTACCGTGACAACGTGAAGCATGGCAAACCGGAATATCACCAGCAGGATGCATGAATCCATCTGACATCTCTGGACAAGCTGCTGGAGCTCTTTACACTGCCAATCATGCAGCTCATTTTCAGTCTTCCTAGCACTTCTTCCGCGTCTCAACACTGCTAATAAAGATGAATCTATTTTGCCGTAGACGACGTTGGATCAAGCTCCGACTTACCCAGACCTTTCTGTGGGGCTGGGGAGCGGAACTCCATCAGATACTGAATGTACGGCTTCTCTGTGGTGATTTCAAAGTAACGAATGTTGCCATCGCCCTGCAAAAACCAAAAAAAACAACAACAAAAAAACACGTTAAGTCTTCAATTTTCACAAATCACAACGTGCTAATCACGTGACGGATTCGAAGAGGTTCCGACCTTGCCTGCCAGGTACAGCATGTGTGTGTCCGCGTCGTAGAAGGGGAACAACAGTCCCGAGAGGCCGTCTATGTCCTCCTCCACAATAGGCATGGACAAATCTTCCTGAGAGGACAGAAACGGAGAGAGTTAAACGCATCCAGCCGCCCGCTCCTCCCACCGTGGCATCGTGAAGAGAGGCCACGCAGAGGCACCGCCTGACCTGATCCCAGAAAGCAATCTGCCTGGTGTTCCAGCGAGAAACCCCGGTGGTGAGCAGCCGCTTCATGTTCCCCAGGAAGACCACTCGGTTCACGCGGTGGTTCTTGTAACTGGCTTGCTGGTGGGGGGGGGCACACAATGACACAGTCGAGTTTCAGTATGAGTATGAAATCCTGTCAGATGCAAATATTGCAATGATGGAGACATAAAAATAAAAATAAAAAATCTTAAAAACACAACCATAGATAACATTATTATTATGTTTGATTACTAAAATCGGAAATGTTATTAATTATTTTGTGCTCCTTTCTGCCTTAATTTGATGCCTTGGGTTTGCTGCGGAAGGCAGGAGGCACACAGGTCTTATCAAGGCCATCGTTGATGCAGTTTAATTTGATAGCGCAGGAAAAGACCAGGCTGTTCCAGGCGACTCGAAATGATGATGCTCAGGAAGGAAGGAGTGCATTTCTCAAATGGGGTAAAATGGATCGTTCCGAGCATCGAGACACAATGATGGCCCCATTTAATAATTAACAGGTTTTTTTTTCTGCTTGTCTCCTATAGTGGTGGTCATAATAAAGCACTCACAATGGATAGCGATCCATATAAAAAATAAATAAGCTTTACATGGAGGAGCAGTACTGATTTTAACTTCTTTAACTAACTGAAATGATGTGTTGCTTTTTCTGGCTGGGCGGCAGAGAAAGAGTTTACAAAAAAAAATAAAAGATCTGAATAATATGAAGGATCCAATCCTTTGGAAGAAGACAAACAGAACCAGTAGCATTTAGTCCTAATAATTGTTTCACGTAGATGTTGATAAAAATGTAACCTGGAGGACTCTCCCGGAGCGTGGCTCAATGACGCGCAGCTTCTTGTCTTTGCAGCTGGTGGCCAGCAGGCTGCCGTCCGTATTAAAGGACATGCTCAGGATGACGTCAGTGTGGCAGTCGATCATTTTCACCGGCTCTCCCGTCTCCAGGTTCCAGATGAGGATCTGCGACACCAGGAAGAGTTGTTTTTATTTTAGGGGAAACTGTTAGAAACTGGGAATTAACCCAAGACGTGACGCTTTGTGCACCTTATAGTCGTAGCCTGCGCTGAAGAGGATGCCGCTGCTGGTTGGATGCCACTCGATCAGACCCACTCGTCTGCTGTGACCGTACAGCTCCAGGACCGCCTCCGTCATGTTGCGCCTCAGACCGCCTTCTGGGATCTCCCATATTCGAACCTGCAAAAAAAATAAAAAAAAAAATCCATAGAGCATAAAATTACTGGACATTTTGTTTTGGATGCTTCTGTTAAACCTTACTTGTAATATCTGAAGTCATAATGGTGTGATAACAATATGTACCTAATAAACAGGCCAGTGAGAGTAACTTCTGTCCTTGTTATCTTCATGTACCTGCAGCTCTTTTGTCAGAAGCCATGTTGCATTTTCCAAACCTACAGTTTGACTATGACCTCAAAAAGAATCATAAGTCATTTTGCTGAAGATCCATCTGATCAAAAATAGCACGAGCTATCAATGTAGCCCGCTGCTTGGGGATTAGAGCGGATTACTGAAAGGGCCTGCAGCTCTGCCGTGGATCAGATCAGATTACAATTCAACAAGTGAAAGTACTACACAGAACACAGAGCGGCTACGGCTTTGCCGAGCTTAGGAACGAAGAGTAACATGTGGATGTACGGCTACGAAAATGTCCCCTGAGGGTTTTATAGTTGTGGTGTGAGGAGAAAGTTAAAGACTAACGGGGTTTTAAAGCAAAGATCTAACTTTGTGTTGCAGAATTTTTTTGTGTGTGATTAAATTTCAAATCTGACCACTCGCCATTTTAAGCACAACTCCTGGAATCAAACATCCAAACAGAAGCTGAAACAGAAGTTAAACGGTTTTCAGTCCTACGTGTTTGTGTGCCACTAACCGAGGTGTCTTCAGAGCAGGAGGCTATGACGTTTTCAAAAAACGGATTCCACTTGATGTCCAGCACATTGCCCTGGTGGCCGCACACCTTCGGGTAATGAGAGTCCAGACGGCCAGCCTGAAAAGAAAAAACCCAGATGGTCCCGAGTTAATGTTTACTAAAACAAACAGCATGCATGGGAAATGAATCCAAAATATGAGCCAGTGCCAAGATTTTGGGGTTGTATGCAACAAAAGGTCAACGAAAATCAAAAGTTTCCCCAAAAGAAAACAGGTGTATTAACATTTTACTGATTAAAACGCATAATAAAAATAACTGAGTGATATCGCAATAATTCTTGAACACAAAGCAGACCTCGTTTCTGAGTGGGACGTCTGAGGCAGGTTAGTGTTATTATTGCAATGACCTGGTGAGTCCACAGAGGGGCACTGGCTCACAGCACCCAGTGACAGACACCTATCAGGAACCATTACGTTGTTATGAATGTTTCATGTCACTTCAGTCCACTGACCTGCTTTTTATTTCCTCAGAGATTTGTGTTTGAGCTGCACGACCTCACCGAACCCTGCAGGTCACCTCTGTTACTTTAACACTATTGCATTGTGTATGAACGAAAATATAAAGTTCAGGAGATGAGACGCGCTTTAAAAACGTGTTTTGCACTAATTTCCCCCAACATGGTGGTGGTTTGATGCAGGAGGAAGAGTTTTTGTTCAATCAAAATATGAAGACGACAAAGTCGTAAGGCTGGATGTCGTAGAAAGTATTTTATAAACATCAGTACTCATTGTATTGATAAGCATAAATAGGGAATTAAAACTCCTTTGTAAAAGCATTGGATAGTCTTGCCAAAGCATTAGGTCACAAATAATCACAAACTTACAGCATTTTGAGGGGAGATTTGAGAGGATAGGCAAACACAAAGAGTATGACTGTAAATCACTGCATCAGGTAATTGGGGGAATCAAACCTGATCAAAATCAAACATCTATGAAAGGAGAAAAAGAAATTATTTTTTGAAAAGTAATATTTATCTCAGTTTGTTGAGTTACTCAAATTTGTATTATGTGCTTTCAGGCAGCACAGCGTCAGCTGCTTTCAAGAAGTACGGATACTTTGTGAGTACGCAACTCTGCAAAATAGAGAGAGAAAAAAGAGTTTTGCCAGTTGTCTCAGCGCTCGTCTTTAATTAACAGCAAGGAAATAAGTGTCCTACAAACAAACGGTATCGGAGGGACTGTAATCATGTTGCATTTAATCAAAGACAGCTGTCCCCTTCATTAGGACTTCAGGAAATCGTGACTTTGGAGAAAAAAGGGGGAATTTCATGATTTTATTTAACTACTGACCAGGAAACCACACAATCCTTTTGTTAGACATCAGGGCTCTTCAGTTCACTTCCTCGGGCTGCTGCTGTGTCACACATGATCCCCCTCAGTGACGCACCAGCTTCCAACTTTAATTGATTTGTAATTCCAAATAAATCTTTGTTAATGTGGACGACCACTGCAGCTCTGGGAACACAGCATAACAAAGCACATGCTAGTATCTGGAGATTGAATGTCTTAAAAATACATTCCCCATGAGGATGTCCTGCACTCATGAGATTGTGTGTTCCCTTTACGCCCTGCTGCACTTAAATCGGCTAAAACTAAATGCACAGAGTCATGTTTATTAGGTTACTGTGGCTTTCTGCTGCTGTACATGATTTAATTTCAACAGGCCTTTTCTGCTGGTGATGTTTCATACGTGTCTGCTCCACTTCGCTCTGACTGCGGAGGGACTTGATCGCTCATGTCACGTGTTTCACTGTGCAGCAGAGAACCTTGTTTACGTGGATCTGAACACTGTAGAAACATTTCAGACATAAAATAATGGAAACAATCGTCATTGCTTGGAAATATAAATGATTTCCATGAGCTATTCTGTGGAAAAGGAACAATTTGAGTGCTGTATCCCATATCAGTTTATCTGGAATTTACTCAAACTAAATATAATCGCATTTTACAGCTGCTGAAAGGAAATAAACCAAGACACAATTTGCTTTTTAACTTTCCTTTAGGCAGGACTGTATTTAACGGCTCTAGTAAAGGATCTGCCCTAATTAGCTTTTAGTCTACTACATTTTAAATAATTATCAATTAAAACATGACAGAACCTAAAATGATGATGATAAATGCCTTCTGTTGCTCACCCTGCAGCCATTAAAAAGACAAAGAAGGAGATTAGATCACTTTAGATTCTCCAGGGCAAGCCGGCCGTCACTCCAATCAGCCTGCTGGTGACACGAATCACCCAGTTTCACCTCGACTGGTTCTGACTGCTGGGCTGTATGCAGAACATTTTCTTTTTCTTTTCATTGGTAAATAAACATACACCGTATTTTCCGGACAATAGAACGCACATACTTTTTTGGAAAAAAAAAAAAACAAACAAACAAAAAAAAAACAAACCCAAAAACTGGAAAGTACATATTTATAAGCCGCACCGGGCTATAAGCCACTGGTATCTCCGCTGCTCTCGGTTTTCCTTTCCAGCCCTCCGTCTCCAACGCCGCACCATGGTTTCGTTCATGCCGAGTTTACGTGTAGCGGCTCTATTTCTATCAATAGCCTTCAACTTAACAGCTGCATCATATGAGTTTGAAGAAATTTCTCACCGTGCCTGCTGCTAGCATATGCTTGTTTTAAATGACAATTAGCACTTTCTTTTTTGATTTCCAATGATTCACTTCCTGCTAAAGAGCCCCCTGGTGGTTGAAGAAAAATCCACAGAAAAGTCTCATGAAAAAATTAGCGGCTTATAGTAAAAAAAAATACTGTAATCAAACATGACCTTCAGCACACTTTTCTTTTTAAACTGTAGAATGAATTACTTTTAGAGATGTATGCTTTCATTTATTCTTGGGGATAATTTTCTAATTCCTTTTTTTTTTTTGTTGGAATCAGTCTCCATATGCCACAGTTCTAAAAAAAAATAAAAATAAACCTAAATAGTTAACACAAGAAGCCCAAATGAGAGTATCTCTTTTTAAACTGGTTTAAAAGCATCACATGAACATCCCAGTCCGTCTCTGTCTTCATCGTGACCTTGTCCTTGTCTGCTCCAGTCTGTGGTCCAGGTGGTGTCAGCGGCAGCTCCTTCCCTGACGGCGCCGACTGTGGATGAACATATGGCCGTCTCGCCAACTGTCACTGAAATATGTCAGATGGGCTTGAACCTCACCGTGAGCCAAACCCGCCTCAGATCAGCTCGATTACCTCATGCTGACGAAGTGCCTGACTGTGGAATAACAAAAATGTATTTTGCAAACCAGGGGGGTAAAAGAAATAATCAAACGAGGCTGTCAGGAAGGATTTTTCTTGTGTGAATATAGCATTATATTTATATTATACAGCATCTCTAATTAAGTTCAGCTTATCTTTAAAGACTATTTGGCTTCTTTTATTTTTGGCATACACAGAGACCTGATTCTTCATTATGCTCTCTTCTCTTCAGGTCATCCCACAAATTTTCTTCAAACTATTTCCATATGAATAGTTTGATTTGGTCATATGCTTCAGATCATATTTCTGCTTCGAGACCCAGTAGCTACTAGATTTGTAGTGTATAATCACCCCAGAAGAGTTTATGAGTAATCAACTCGTTTTCTGAGATGTATGCATTACTTGTAAAGGTTTGCTTTTTCCAAAATG